AAGTTAAATTTAATGCATGACAGACTATATAAAAATCAAGAGTATAAATCTAAACGGGATGCAGGAACAGAGGGACCTGGGTGTACATATGTATAAAACATTGTAGGCGATGGGGCAAATTGTCATCATGGTTATTAAGCAGATGGTATCCTAGGCTTTATAAATAGGGGCACATAGGACATGAGAAGGTATTTGTATTAAACTTGTAAAGGACACTGGTTCGACTTCAATTTTGGCGGTTTTGTATCTGGATCTGGGTGCCACACTTTAGGAAAGATGTGAAGACATTAGAATGTTAGAGAATGTTTTCAGGGATAAGGAATTTCAGTCACAAAAGACAGATTGGAGGAGTGAACGTTGATAGGAGATTTGGTAGAGGTACTCAAAATAATGAGAGGTTTACATAGAGTAGACAAGGAGAAACCTTTCCCATTGTTGGATAAATAGAGAACAAGAGGGTGCAGATTAAAGTAATTTGCAAAAGAAGCAATAGCTACATGAGGAAAATCTTCATTTTTTTTGTAGAGACTGCTTAGGATCTGGAACACTGTGCCTGAGAGTGTGGTGGAGGAAGGTTGAATTGAGATTTTCACCTCAATCGAATTGTTGTCTGAAAGGAAAAATGTGCATGGCTTCAGGGAGCAGGCAGGGTAGTGACACTGTGAGTAAATTGCTCCTCCGGAGAACCAGCACAGACACAACGGACTAAATGACTGACCTTTTGCGCTATGGTTTCTGAATTTTAGTTTGACTGTCTTTTGATGCTGAAACTACTCACTCAAGCAAATATTCTAGCTGACTGAACACTATTGAATATTCATCTGCTTCTTGCAAGTTGATATGTACTTTGTTTAAAAAAAAAACCTGTCTTCCCATGCCAATATTCCATTTCAATAAATGTGTTATTAATATCTTACACTAGCACAAGGGAATCCCAAAATATGGAAGGAGTTGAAAACAATTGACTGTTTGGTATAAACATACGAATTCTATGGAAAGAAAAGGCGTATAGTGCCAGCTATAAATCAAAACCTATTTGAAAAAGCATGGTTTCTTAGCAGCTTTAGCAGGTTGCCTGAGCAGGGTTGGCTCAGAAACATGCAGAACCATTTGGCAGAACTGTCTAACCTGGACAGAAATATCAACTTTTTAGTAGAATATTTGTAGCATTCTGGACCAGAATTGACTGGCCATTTGACCAATCATTTTCACTGGTATTTGTGATGGAGGCTTTCAGTCCTGAGGCTGTTCCCAAGTATGGTGCCCCAAGGGAGCACTTCAGCTCGTCGCTCAGGTTTTGGGGTAATGACTTACATCCTTTTCAAATTACAATAATTTTACTCTGGCAGTGTGTTGGAAAAATTAAATAGAAGCTTTATGATCAGACCTGATGCTAAAACATTTATGTTGACAACATTTCCACTGACACAGCTGCTGGGTTTGATTTTCCTATGGGTAGTAATTAAGCGTAGTCTTACCACATGTGGTCTCTGGCGAAAACAATCAAAAATAGACTAACCTCCAAGTGGTTCTAGTTACTCTGACGAGGTATAAACCTAGTTTCTATCTAGCATCTTGTGGCAAAAACAGGAAAATGAGGTGTTTGGGTTCACCAATTTGCTTACTTTCTGGGTTATTTTCCCAGACAACCATTCTACTTGCCACTTCTAGAAGTATATGGTACTGGGTAAAAGTTGTGTGAGATAGTTTGCAATCATCAATCCTCCTTTGCTTTGTCTTGCATCTATTTATTGATTAGTGGTAGGGGATACATTACTGTAAAATATCTGCAGAAGAAGCACCTAGATAACAAGAAGGTTCATTGCATGATAATGATAAGTACAACTACATTTGGTCAGGTGTAAATATTAGGACGTTAAGGAGCTGGTACAGCGCTTCCTCCAAAAGCTACTGCGGAACACCTTTGTCCACCCATAGACTCTGTGTGACATCAGTAGAATGAGGAAGCCCATGTAACCGTAATTTTAATTCCTTCAGAACTATCGCCTCTTACAGCATTTTGTAGACTAACTGTCAAGGTTGAAGACTGACCATTCTCTTGATCATGTCTTAATCTATAGTCTAGCAACAGGTGGATTCCATTTCAATAATGTATTATGTTTCTTTTTAAAGTAAATCTGCTATTTGTTTCTCATTTATCCCATTAGATAACCAGACCACCCATTATAATCTAGCATAAGTTAAATAAATGGCTGCAATTATCCCAAATGACTTTCAAATTGTTTGGATATATTAGTGTTCTGAAATGCAAAGTTCTTAAATGGTTAGTGGGTCTAACAAGTGCTGCTATTCGTCAATGGAAAAATTTAATCTGATTCAGTAAGTTAAGAAATGCTATTTCAGACATTATTTTGCAACGTGGACATAATTGATCCATCCCACTTTCACACCATATTTCAAATAAAACAGTGGAAGATTCTAAGAGTCAGAATGCACTCTTCGTTTGAAGATTCCTTCATTCCTATAACTCATATCATTGTCTACTATAGTATTGATAATGAATGAGTTTTGTGTCACATAGAACCTGTATTTGTATAATATTTCTGTGCCTTCAAAATGTCCCAAGCACTTTATGAACGGTGAATTGCTTCTAAGGTGTTCTTATTGTTATGTGGTAAAATATAGTATCTTTTTGCATTTGTCATACCTTGACCAAATACAAGAATGTTCCACTACTGTTCAGGCAGTCTATTACTTGCTTAAGAGAACACATGACTGGAGGTAGAAGTTTCTTACAGAATTATGACAAAACTGCTATTATTAATGGTCACATCAAAAGACTTGCACCACTAAGCAATACAAAAGTTAATAGAGCTTCCAGTATGACAAGCTGTAAATATTACCCTTAGGACTTAATGCTTGGCACTGTTAGAAGTAAGATTCTGCCCAGCAATGCAGGTTAGCAGCTGAACCTCTGCTAGAGTTTTGCTTTTATGCTTATGCAACAAACCTTTCACAATCCACGCAAGAAATGTCTTGGATGTTGCCCTTTCCACGTAAATAAAGAGAAACTGTTCCAGTGGACCAGAGAACACAAGACTTAAGTTGATTCGCAAAACAGCTGGTGATGACATAAGGAAAAAGTGTTATGCAATGAGTGATTAAGATCTGGAATGTACTGTCTGATAGGGTGCTGGAAACAGACTCAATAATATCCTGTAAAAGGAAGTAGGATACATATTTGAAGGAGTAAAGTTTGCAGGGATGTGGGCAAAAGCAAAGGAGTGGAACTAATTGGATTGCACAGTTTCAATTTGGGTCAGTTTTAATTTTCTATTATTTGACATTTGCCCTCTTAGCTCTATCAAAGAAAACCTCATACGTGCTGCATCAGTTTGTACATGTTAGTCAATACTAATATCATCTCAAAATGTCCCAAATTTAATGATGTGAATTTGGAGAGACCATCAGTTTTGCACCATGTAGAAGTGAAAAAGGTGAGAATATTTTAAATCTGTTACTTTACAGAAGTAATGTAACCATTGTGAAGAAATCCAAAACCGTAAACCTGCCGTAAACCTGTACGTGCCCATACTAGCGATTTAGGCCTGTTAGCAAATACACGGTAAAGATTTGTGATGCTTCATGTAGACACACCTCATTCCAAGAATACCAGGGCAGCAGATGTTTCCTTAGAACATTTCTGTATTGACAAACTATGACATGTATTAATACAGCATAATTTAGCTGTTACATTCCTATTTCAGGTGTCCCAAATCAATAGAAACAGAATTTCCCCTTACAGGCCAGCACCAGAACAAGATATCTTTTGTGCAGCTCGTACATCAGTAGAGGAAGATTACTCCATCTATTATTTGTAGTTGGAGATTTGGGGGAGCTTTGACGGAAATATTAAAAATCCTTAATTCCACTGTTACCAGTTTCAGAAGAATTCTCCACCAAAGGGCACAGAGTTAACTCAGTTGATAAGTGAACTAGAGGCAACACGAGAGAAAACATTTTTTCACAGCAGGTTGTCATATTCTGGAATAAACTGTCTGGACAGGAGGTTCAAGTAGATTAATTAATAACTTTTAAAAGGTAATTGGATAAGTAATTGATGAGGGGAAAAATTGAGGGCGATTGGGAAAGAGTGAGAACATGCTTGATGGATAATTATTTCAAACAGCCAATGTAGGTACAATGACCTGAGTACCCTCCGTCTACACCGTTATTCTGTTATCTCATAAAATTACTTTACATTTTTATTCTAAATAGGAAACAGAAGAAAATCTCCCTAATTTCAAAATAGTCAAGTATACTGAAGATTAGGATTTCCATCCTTGATTTTCATTGTACAGTGTAACCAAATATAAATGAATGTAGACATAGTGAACTTAAAGCATACAGATAAACAATGCACATTTTATTGCATTGCTGTGGAAACAAGATCTCATTGTTTCTGTTTGCTTGCCACATAGTTTGCGGAACAAGACCACACAGACTAGTTTAGATTGAGAAATTCAGTTACTTAAACAGGAAGAGCTGCAAGCCATCCACGTGGATGGTTTAATTAACATAGACATTCTTTTACTTGCTCATCATGATTTCATATTTTAGTTAAAAAATGAGTGTAAATAAAGGGTTTAACTTTGGGGAAAGTATCAATTGATATTTCAGCATTTTCATTGCAATGCTTCCAAGCTACCTGTCTTGATGATAATCCCTTGTGCTCGGCAATTAAAGTAGAATGAACTTTTGGCTCAGTTCTCATTTCTGGTCCTGAGTCAGAACATGCAGGGTTTAAACCAGATAGGTTGCATCTCTAGTTCCTGTTAACATTCAGCCTTTTGGATTGGGCTTTTGCAATATTAAGTAAACTTTGTCAGAATTCCTACAAAATACAATTTGAAATATTGCCCAAGTATTTTGCACTTTGTGTTTCAAAAGGTTAGAAGTGGGCTGTTCTTAAGTAATAATAGTCATTTACAAGATAATTATGAAAAATAAATGTACTAACCTTATTGCATCTTTAACAGCTACACATTCTCAGTGACACCCACAAACATACATGGCAGAGGTCCATCCAGTGAACCACTTCCTTTCGTTACAGAATCTGGTAAGTCTGAATTTCTCTTTGTTTTCAAAACACACCATGGTTGTGAAAACAGGAACTGCAGTACAGCATTCAACCTCTTGAGGCTGTTCTGCCACTCAGTCACATCATGGCCAGTCTGTAGTTTAGCTCTATCGACACACATTGCTTACATAGTACACTTGCCGAGCAACAAACTATCAATCACAATTTTGAAATTTTAAATTGAACTTGGGCTAGTACCTTTTCGAGGAAGAGTGTTGGGTGTGGGGTAGTTGGGCGTGGCGGGGGTGATGGGTTGTAGTGCATGGTGATGTTGGTGGCTGAGGAGACAGTTCCACCACCCAATTGTGTGAAAAAGTATTTTCTGAAGCCTCTCCTGAATAGCCGAGATCGATGATTGCTGACTGCAAAATGCTTCCCTGCTGGTACTGCAACCACTTGCCTGGCTTCATTACCTAAAATTAAGTCCAGGATCACCCTTTATCCTGTAGGGCACTCCACATACTGGCTTAAAAGCTCTTCTAGATGCATTTTAAGAATTCCACTCCCTCTAAACTCTTCATATTATGATTACTTCAGTTACTGTTGGGGAATTTGAAATCCATATCACTACCTTTTTACTTCTTACACTTCTCTGAGATTTTCCCACATATCTACTCTTCTGTCTTTCGGACTGTTAGAGTACCTATAGTATGCTCTCAGCAGTACGATCGTTATCTTGCTTTTTAATTTCTACTCATTTGGCTTCATTTGAGGAACCATCTATGATATCGAACCTCCTTACTGCCCTTGTGATACCCCTTCCCATTCTCACCTGTAGACCTTATACCCTGGAATATTGAGGTTGTAGCAATCATGAAACTTCCTCAATCATGTCTCAATGATAGCTACTTTTGCCCTCAGCTCACCTGCCTTCATTCTGTAACCTTCTATATTCAAGAGAACACAAGTCTTGTCTGTGCAAAATTCTCAAGATTTTACACTCTTAACCCAGGTATCATTCTGTGAACCTGTGCTGTATTCGATCCAAGGCCCATAAAATCCTCTGGAGGTTCAGTGCTCAGAATTGAATGCAGTTACACCAGATGGGGTGTAACCAGAGCTCCGCACAGCTGTAACATATCTTCCACTTCTTTTCTATTCTAGTCCCCTTGAGAGAAAGGCCAACATTCCATTAGCCTTGCAAATTAATTTCTTTTGTACCTGCCTGCTAGCTTTTACTGATTTCTATACAATATGCTGAAATGCAGTTACAAGAGAATACCAAGTACTGTAAGGACAGCAGGACGGAGTGTTGTGAAGCAGAAAGAGGGGAGTCTCTTGAGGAGCTGAGAGAAAATTCAGCCAAACTAAAATCATCTGCAATACCAATACTTCTTTCCTCCCCAATTAAAAATCAACCATAAGTATTTCTTGCAAATTATTCCCATCAACTGCATTTATTTTCAAGTTCCAAACTAAAGAATGGAACCGTGGCAGAAAACAAATAAAGGGACCTCTTTGTGTTCGCTTTCCTGATCCAACATTTGCATCTGCATTTCATTCTTAGAATGGGGAAGTACCAAAACATCTAGCATTTCAATCTGAACTGCAAGTGGTATTGGCTCCCTTCAAACCATGGCTGCTTGGCAACCTTTCATCGTTTCATCCAAGTGAGCCTTGACAAAGGCCCGAGATGGAGAAGTGCAAAGTTTTTGCAGGGTCATGGGGCTAGAAGATATTACAAAGGTATGGGGAGGTGAGGCTATGGAGGGGTGAGGCTATGGAGAGATTTATTAGCAGATTATTTGACTTTGGAAACATTACAGCATCTAGTAATGTCTTATTGGCTTCCACAAACATGAATGATCCAACATGAGTTTCATGCTATCAATATGAGTGAAAGCTATGGCAATTTAAATTGAATGCTTTAGGATGCAAACCAAAACCTCACTTACACACTCCCCAAGGTTATAGCAATTGTTTGTGCAACTAAATGGCTTATTAGACCATGTTGGGTGGAATGAGGAATGAATGTGATAGTGTTGGACCGAAGCTGCACATGGACAACACCAGGTAGAGGTGAAACATTCTATTCTTTGACATTAGAAAATTTGCTAGGTGCCTACAAGTATCGAGTGGCTTCATTGGCCACTTTTGCACGAGTGCCACAAGTGTCAGGATGAGATTTTATCATTATGGATCTTAGTCCAATTGTGTTACCATGGTTTCATTTTCCATTCTTCATAGCTCAAAAATCAGCCAAAGAAAATTGCTTACTTTTCTTGACTTCTTTTCCCCGATCTACTTGCTGCCAGACCAGAATCATGAGGGAATTCTGATGGTTTCCTCATGCAAGCCTGAATTTAAAATTCCAGTTGGGGCACAATGGCCTCATTGGAATCTAGTCCACATTTTTTAAAGCGGGCCAAGTACCCCTGGTGGTGTCTACTGATATCCCTGGTGGTCTTACAGGACACTCGCTAAATGCAGCCAATTATTGTTAAATTTTTAATATGGAAACAGAACTTTTCTGTCCCAGTTTCAACTTGCTTTCTGCCAGGTGTGCAAGTTTAAATTGGATCCATAATAAAATCTGGAAATGTTTGCTTTCCCGAAATGATGTTATCATCTTTGGTTTTAAATACATAATCATTGGTATGTCTAGTTTAAAAGCTAGCAATCCCAGTATACAAAAGACATTTAGATGGGGAGTATTTCAAATCCTGAAGGAAGTCTGAGACAGTTAAGTTTTTAAAAAAAGTAATGATTTGGGATAACTCCAAGTAAAAGATTTCTTGCTGCAATGTTTTTATGGACAGGGTGCATAGCTCTTTTGCCACTTTCTTCCATTTTACACTGTACTTTTTCATATTCACTGTTGGACCAGTACCAAGAGGGTGTTGTACCAATGCCAGAACTGCTGAGTAAAAGCAATATTCATCACTAAATTAACCAAGTGATGTCCAAATCTGTCTACAGTTAGAAAATATTAGGCGTTAGATTTATGATCAAAAAGAGCAAGACAATTGCTAATTTGAAAATGTGCAGTTCTGCTTACATTGTCTGTGATATATATCAAGAGGTCAGACTTGACAACAAGAATAAATGACTTGTTATTTCTGTTGGGTGCCTTTTTGGAGTTCTGGATGTCCTTAAATTAGACAAAAGAAATCAAACTTGTAATTTCAGACACATGTGGACAGAAGTAGGCAGTGAGCTAACAATTTATGCTTTAACTTCATATTGAGAAGGTCACAGTAGTAGCCCTCTGGGAATGCTTTGGTGGTGTTTTCTTCACACTAATTACTTAGAATGCCAACCATTAACATTTAGCAGAGAGATGTACCTTCAAATAAAGACTAGTATCATCTTTAGGCACTTTGCTTAACTCTGTTGGGAATCTCTTAACTCCTACAGCCATGGCTTTGATTTTTGTTTTGTGACTACCTTGACACAGGGTATTAGTCATATTACTAAAACTAAGGCATCTTGCCAAAATCAACGGAGGCATTGAACATCAAAGAAGGGACAGGAAGTAGGTGGACTGGAGGCGCATTAATGAGGGACCCCAGTGGTGGTTAGACCATAATGGACAGCAGAAAGTACAAAACAAGTATCAGGAAGACTAGCCGAAAGCAGGAGGAAGAACAAATGAAAATCAGTCATTTTCCATTATGAATCAGCCTTGCACCCAGGATATCGATATCCTAATATTTGGACGAATGTTGGGGATTGTTGGAGGGGTAGTTTCTGTGAATGGGTAAGTGCAGAAAAAGAACCAGCCCCAGTAAATTGAAGGAAGGGAGTCACTGAGAGAAATCACCTACAGTGTTCTGGGAAGGAAAAACATCTCTGAATGGGCAAGAGGTGGACTGGACATGACCTTTGTGAAGGTATTTTACTTCTGCAAAATTACACATGAAGTGCTTTGTGGTAAAGTATTTATAAAGCTCTGGATAGTGATAACTGATTAATCTGTAATATTCCATTGTTGTGCTTTTTGATGGAAAGATAGATCACTGTCCTGTTTCTATATCTTGCTAGACAATAAAGTAGCAACAATGGTTAAAAACTGGAGTCTAAAGTCAATGCACTGGTTAAAGTCTTGAACTGAAGTTCTCCCAATTAAATATGTTTTTCATTACATTCCAGTGTCTTCAAAAGAAACACAAATGACCTGAAATGAGTCAGTATTTGTGGATGTATTCCTTGAAATACTTTTCCATGTTAATTTTTTTAAAACCTTATTGTAAAAGTTTCATTTTCTAATGTTCCCTCTTTCTTTTCCATTTTTGTTTTCCTTCTCTCCCACCTCCAAACCCTGTAGCGGACCCCAGTGTAAGTGAATATATACCAGGTGAGTGGTACAAACTTCAGTCTGGACATTTTTCTCTGGTGAAAGTATGGAAGATGTATACCAGTAGTATTAAAATCTGCCAAGGTTGGATTCAACTGAATGGTGAAGCTAAGCATTTAATTAAATATACTACATGTATGATTTTAGTTTAATGTGCTTTACTCAGACTGAACATTAATGCCCAAGAGGCGACTAGGAAAACTTTCTGGTCTGTATTACAGGTTATTTCTATAATCCAACAATATTTATACATCACACTCAATACAGTGACTGGTTGTATAGAACCAGCCATACATGTTTCTTCTACTAAGGTATCGGTCAGTTATTGCTTAGCATGCAAAACATATAACATGGTCACCTTCTTTGACATTTTTAAAGTAAGTTTTGGATTTTAAAGTAATGGGGAAAAGAATTTCTTTGCTTAAAGGGTTGTCTTTCTAGTTTGGTTTCTCCAATAATCTCATTAATTGTTCAGTCCTTTATTCTCACAGTGTTTCATTGTAATGATATCAAGTATATCATGGAAATTGGATCACTGACTTATAATAACTGGCTCAATCAAATACATTTTTCTTAATTATATATTCCTATAATTGTGACTCTGCTTAGTTTCCAAAAAAAAGGCTCTTTTTCCATGGAAACAGAGACTGTTTGCCTGTAATGTAATTTACAAATGGGCTGTTATTCCCTATAATCAAGGCTGATGACAATAGTAATGATTCTGTTATATGCACAATTTCTTTGAGTTGATCGAGTTTTTTGGGAGTAGCCTCTGCAATGGAAAATCAATGCATGTGACATTTTCCCTCCAAGTCATGAAAGTAAGCAGTTTATTTTAATGAAGACATTAAACCTCTTCTTTCAAAATAATGCTTGGGATGAATTTCTCCAACAAAAACGATAGTGTTCAATAATGGGCCAAATACTGTGGATGCTGGAAAATTGAAACTCAACAGGTCTGGCAGCATCTGTGGAAAGAGAAACAGCATTAATGTTTCAAGTCCAGTGTGACTCTTCTCCAGAATGGACAGCGTTTAATACTTGGTTCACCCCAGAAAGAGTCTCAGGCCTTTCACTTAAATGATGTCAGCTAAATGAGCTTTGAACTGGTTGAACTGATCTTGATTTTCTGGTGTAAAAAGTTTTTATTGTAATAAATGGGAGAAGAGAGAAAAGGAACCAAAAGGGAACAGCAGATACAAGGAATTTAATATTTCTGTATATTTTTGTTTTTCATTCCTAGGAGATGGGCATCGCTGGCTAGGCTAGCATTAATTGCCCATCCTTAGTTGCCCTTGAGAAGGTAGTAGTCAGCTGCCTTCCTGAACCACTACAGATTATTTGGCTACTCTGAAAAAAAAATTATTAACTCAAAGGAGTTGTGCATATGAAGCAATCATTACTATGTCATCAGCCTTAATGATAGGAAATAACAGTGCAACACCTTTAGAGAGGGAGTTCAATACTTTTGACCTGGTGACATATTTATATTCCCTGGCCACCCTCAGTCATGAAGCAGTATTGATGGTAACAAGAGAAATATCTGTTCGAAAGCCTAGTGCAGTATTGATGCAGACAGAAATATGGAAGCGTATAACTGGCATGTTTATTGTTGAAGCTAACATAAGGTGTTATTCCTGGAAAGCATTTATGCAATTGGATGTAAGATCGTAACAGATAGTATCATGGTGACCATATTTTGGATTAGTTCATTGCAACCCTGGAAGACAACAGCTCACCCTTTGGTCTTTGTTTTCACTCTTTGTCTAATAGGGAAGGATGCCATCTGGACTCAATACTCCTTTAAGTTTGATTCGTATTCAGAGTGTCAAGGCAAGAGATTTGTCAAACGTACCCGGTACCGGAAATTTGTTGGTATCATTCTGTGTAATTCACTGAGATACAAGATTTACCTCAGTAATTCCCTATCAGGTATGATTTTTCTTTAAATGTGATATCATAATTGCACCAACTAACTTTATAGTGCATTTAACAAAATAAAACTTTCTAAGATACTACACAGGAGCATGGTGAAATAAAATTTGACACATTATCATATAAGGATGTATTAGGGAAGATGTTGGGTAGAGTTTTAAGGATTGTCTCTGAGAGAGAAAGAGAGGTAATGAGATAGAGAAGTTTCGGAAGGGAATTCCTGAGCTCAGGGACTTTGCAGCTGAAGGCATGGCCATCAATGGTGGAACAATTAAAACAGAATATCTGAGGGTTGAGGGGCTTGAGATTAGAGAACTAGGAAGAAATGAGGCCATGGAGGGAAACAAAGATGAGGATTTTAAAATCGAGGCATTTCTTAACCTAAAGCTAATGTAGGTTAGTGAACAAAGATAAAAGGATTGTGCTGCTAAATTAAGCAGTTAGTGCTGGGGAGTACTCAGTTATTAAATTAGTGCTGAAGAGATCTGTCACCACCGTGGCTCAGTGCTTAGCTCTGCTGCCTTACAGTGCTGGGACCAGGGTTCAATTCCAGCCTTGGGTGACTGTCTGTGTGGAGTTTGCACATTCTCCCCATGTCTGCGTGGGTTTCAGCTGGGTGCTCCGCTTCCCTCTCACAGTCCAAAGATGTCAAGTGAGATGGATTAGCTATGCTAAATTGTTTGTAGGGTCCTAGGACATGCAGGCTAGGTAGACCATAGTAAATGCAGGGTTAGGGATAGCATAGGGGACTGGGTCTGGGTGGCATGCTCTTCAGAAGTTCAGTGCAGACTCAATGGACTGGATTGCCTCTTTCCATACTGTAGGAATTCTGTGATTTTGGAAGTTGCAAGAAATTTCTAATGATGCCATGTTAAATTTATGACTGATGAGGTTGACTATCCACGTCCTCCCTCCCATGTGTGTATCAAGACCGGTCTTGCCCCTTTAATGAAAACTACTGAAAGAAAACATTCGGCGTTCTTTCAGTAAAGTTTCTAGCAGCACTTTCTCTGCCATGAAGCAAAAAATGTACAATTCAAATCTGTTATTTGACTAGAATCTGAAATAGTGATCAGCTGGCGAGAGGAGCATTCTGATTGAGGACATTTTAATTGGAAAATAAGCATTTTAAATGAACACAGAAAAATAGAACAAAACCACATGACATTTAGTAAATAAGATCCACATTCCAAAATGTATAATTCTTCATTTAAAAATCTAACTTATGATGTCAATCTTATAATTAACATTGACTGATTGGGAAGCACAATCTGTTGCTTATTAGTGGTTATGGGGACAAAAGAGATGCTTGCACCAATTGATGAGTATTATTAGGCAGTAAACAGGAAATACAATCTGAAAACAATTTAAGAGTAAAAGAGCAGAAAAAAATGAAAATTCTTTTAAGATTAGTGTAGGAATACAGAAAGGAATTTACCTTTATGAAAGAAAAAACATACACTAAAACTAACATGTCTGCTTAATTGGTACCCCTAATCTGTGTTTAGATTTCAGGTGCATATGAACTCTCAGGGGTTAGAAAAGAGTGTATTTTAAGAATATGTAACCGTTATGTATCCACAATGCTCATGAATGGGATTGAATCTTAAAGTGAGACAGGCAAACCTCTGGTTTAGATTTTAGGAAATCCACCAATTCAGGGTAATTTCCAAAGGTTTTGAAGATAAAGAACTTGAACTTCAAAAAATAGCAATGATTCAAGCGATAGTTGACCAGGTCATTGAAAAAAATATTCAGGCTGAACCGTTCAAGACATATTTGAAAATACCATAAATGCTCATCCAATGTTAAGTGGGGAGACTTCCTTGGTGACCCAAGAGTTTGCAGCTATTAAAGATATTTCCCCCAAATCCATGATGTCAGTAGCATGGTGCATGGGTGGGGTCTTGCTCATGAGTGACCAGGTGCTAGAAGGAAATACATAAATGAATGGTGATTCTTAATCCAAGGCTGAGTCTGGGGAAGCAAATGTGGGTGGGCATGAGCAGAATGAGGAAGAGATTGGAGAGATTAGTTCTGAGTGGGTGCAAATAGATAGTTCGACAAAAGTGGATGGGCCAGTTGTTGTTCCTTCTAAAGGTTTCACATTGAGGGTTTTGAATGATTCTATTAAGCAATTCTTAGGCTGTCTGTGTCACTGCATGGCTGATAATTATTGTGAATGATGAGTAACATTAGGAAACCTCTGGGAAGCCACCTGTTTGATGTACAGGTTTGATAGAAGTAAGTGGCTTGCTAAGCCCCTTTAGAGACCACAGTAATGAGGAAGGATGCCTTAGAAGGCTCTTCAAATGAGTCCATCTGGGTAGAGCTTAGACATTTAAAAAAAAAGGTACTATCGCTTTGCTGGGATTATACTACAGGCCTCCCAACAGTCAGACGCAGATAGAAGAACAGCTATGTAGGCAAGTCACAGAGATGTGTAAGAGGAATATGGTTATGGTAGGGGATTTCAACATTGGTAACATTGGGATCGCCTTAGTGTGAAAGGATTAGACGAGGTAAAAATTTTAAAATGCATCTAGGAGACCTTTTTGTGCCAGTACACAGATAGTCCTACTAGATATGGAGGAGCACTTGACCTAATCCTAGTGAATGAAGCCAGTCAAGTGGCTGGAGTTGTCAGTGGGTGAGAATTTTGTGGATAGTGACCATAACTCTAGGTTTCAAAGTCCTTATGAAAAGCATAAGGATAGTGCAGAAGTGTCAATTAGGGGAAGGACAATTTCAATATTAGACAGCATCTAGCAAGCATAGACTGGGAGCAATTATTTGCAGATAAGTCTGCATTTGGAAACTGGAAGTCTTTTAAAAGTAGTACGGTGAAAGTTCAGGGCCAGTGAGTCTAGGGAATCCTGATTGTCAAGGAATAGTGAGAATTTGACAAAGAAACAGAAGGAAGCATATGTCAGGTAGAGCATTAAAAATAGGGGAGGCCTTTCAGGAGTGTAAACTGTGTGTGGGGGTGTTGAAATTTCTCCCAGGCTGCTACAGGAAGATTGCTGGGGCTCTGATGGAGATATTTAATACTTCACTGGCCACAGGTGGGGTGGCAGACAGGAGGCTTTCTGATGTGGTTCCTGTGTTCAAGAAGGGCAGCAGGAATACGCCAGGTAATTAATGACCAGTTACTCTGATGTCAGTGGTGGAGAAATTATTGGAAAAAATTCTTGAGGGACGGGATTAATCAACACTTGGAAAGGCAGGGATTGATCAGGTCAGCACTGATTTGTTGGAGGAACATCCTGTCTGACTAATTTAATTGAGTTTTCTTGAAAAGATGAGTAAACATATTGATGATGGTAGAGCTGTTATAGAGACATACAGCATAGAAACATATCCTTTGGCTCACCATGTCTATGTTGACCAACAAACAACACTAATCCCATTTACCCACACTTGGTCCAGAGTTGACTTTGCCCAGGCATTTTAAGTGCTCCTCCAGATGCTTCTTAAATGTTGCAAGTGTACTTGCCTACAACCACCCTCAGGCAGCACATTCCACATATCTACTACCCACTGGGTGAAATAAATTTTTTTCAGATCTCCTCTAAACCACTTACTCCTCACCTTAAACTTATGCCCTCTGGTCTTAGACACGTCTGCCATGGGGAAGAGATTCTCTACTCTATCTATGCCTTTCATAACTTTATGTACTCAATCAAACTCTCCCCTCAGCTCCAAGGAAAACAAACCCAGCCTATTCAGCCTTTCCTCATAACCGAGACTTTTCATCACAGGTTGGTCCAAAAGGTAACAGTCCATGGGATCCAAGGCACGTTGACAAACTGACTTACAAATATGAGGGCAAGGGTGATGGTGGAGGGTTGTTCTTTTAATTGGAAGCCTGTGACCAGTGATGTACCACACGGATCGTGCTGGGACCCTTGCTGTTTGTTACGTGCATTAACAACTTGGATGAGAATGTAGAGGGTTTAAGAAGTAAGTTTGCAGATGACATGAAAGTTGGTGTTGATAGTGAGGAAGATGGTCTCAGGCTACAGTCTGATATTGATCAGCGGGTAAATTGGGCAGAGCAATGGCAGATGTAATTTAATCCTGATAAATGAGAGGTAATGCATTTTGGGAGGTCTAACAAGGGAAGGATATACACAAAGAATGGTAGGCCCCTGGAGTACTAAGGAACAAAGGGACCTTGATGTACAAGTCCATAGATCCCTGAAGGTATCAGCACAAATAGACAGGGTGGTGAAGAAGGCATATGGGATGCTTGCCTTCATTAGCCAGGGCATAAAATATAGAAGCAGGGGAATCTTGATACAAATTTATAAAACATTGGTTAGACCACAGATGGAATACTGTGTGCAGTTCTGGTCGCCACACTAACAGAAGGATGTGATTGCACAGCAGAGCGTGCAGAGGAGAATTCACCAGGATGTTGCTTGGGATGGAAAGTCTGTTATGAGGAGAGATTGGACAGGCTGGGTTTGTTTTTCCTGGAGCAGACGAAGCTGAGGGGGATCTGTTTGAGGTATACAAAATTATGAGAGGCATGAATAGAGTGGATTGTGAGAATCTTTTCCTTATGGCATACATGTGAGGAGTAAGTGGTTTAGAGGGAATCTGAGAAAAAAGCTTTTTAACCCAGAGGCTGGTAGATATATATAATATGCTACCTGAGAAGATGGTGGTGGCAGGTTTAAGAATATTTAAGAAGCATCTGGACAAGTATGTAAAATGCCAGTGCACAGTAGGCTATTCAACAAGTGTGCATAGAACATAGAACATAGAACATAGTACAGCACAGTACAGGCCCTTCGGCCCATGATGTTGTGCTGAACTTTTACCCTAAACCTAAGGTCTATCTAACCTCCACCCCTACCCTGTACTATCATCCATAGTGTGCAGTTAAATGGGATTAGTGTAATTTGTTGTTTGTTGGTTGGAATAGATATGGTGGGCTGAAGAGCTTGTTTCTATGCTGTATGACATTCTATCCTGCTTGTTACAGTCAT